ACACATGCACATACAGTACCGGAGATATTTATAAAGGGTGTGCACGGGCATGTGTTTCATTCACAATGTGACCACATAGTCTCACAGCACAGGGTAAAAAGGTCACCACGCTCCACCCGCTGTTACTCATCTGCCCATAGCTGTTTACACACACACACACACATACACATACACACACATGGGGCTGTCTCTTTGCGACGGATGAATTTCTGTCATAAAAGCTGACATCATACACTTGGTGTCAGCGTTCGACTCTGACATTCGAAGAGCTGTTAACAATAAATGTTTCTGCAAAAAATACTCACGGGGAAATCTGCAGAAAAAACTCCACTTTTTACTCCACACACTTTGACATCGATGTCATTAATTCAATCAACTTCTCACATCCATATTTCTGCCGTTTTACATCGGTTGGTCCAAACCAGTAAAAACCAGAAGTGTGTTTGTGTGTTTACTCTCGTGTGTGTGTGTGTGTGTGAATTTGAGAAGATCAGCTTTTATGGCCTTTGAGTCTCTGCAGCTGTTGATATCCATCAGTGCAGCAGTGGTGGGAGCTAAAGTATATGGACCTGGCTGCCTTTACTGATGCAGGTGGGCACCACCAACAGGCCCTGCTTATAATACATTAACTTAAGTTAAATTAACTAGACATGACAACACAACAAAACAAGTTTTATAGGGTCCAAGTACCATGTTTTCCGGACTATAAGTCGCACCTTTTTTTTCCATCCTTTGGCTAGGTTTACGACTTATACTCAGGTGGGACTTGTAATATATATATATATATATTGAAATATATAATTTCACATTTGGTATTTTGCCTAGAAGGCATTCCAGGCATGTGTCCAGTATCTGCTACGCCTGTACCACTGAAAATGTACATTCATTTCACACTGACAACTGCTAGAGGGCACTGGCGCGACTTATACTCCGAAGCGACTTATAATCCGGATATTACGGTACTGCTGCTGCAAACAAGAACCACAAGCCACAGACAAACTCATCAGCGGAATGTCTTCAAACTCATTCTATATTTTTAATTCTGGACTTTTAACAATTTTTTTTTTCTTGTGTTAGTCCTGGGACGATAATCAATAAATCCATTATAAGAATGTAGTGGGTAAAGCTAAGGAGGCCTCACCAATGTATAAATCTTAAATACACTTCTTTTTTTTTTTTTTTTTTTGTGCGCCATAGAAACTCCGAGATGCTGGTATTGAAGTTCCAGAGGCAGGAACCAAAGGACCCGGGCCTCTAGAGGAGAACAAGAAGCTTAAGGAGGAGGTGAAGAGTCTGAAGGGGGAGCTGGACACCACCAAGAAAGGTGGAAAAAGAGTGAAACTGAAACTGCGAGAAGACTGCCCGCACGTAGATTAAGACGAAGAATGTGAACGTTGTTTGGTTGTTTTTGTTGTTTTTCTGCAGCTCTCCAGTCTTCAGACAGTGATGTCAAAGCCATGAAGAAACAGGCCGAGAATCTGACGGTGGAGTACGACCGTCTTTTAGAGGAGCACAGTAAACTGCTGGTAAGACACATACATACATACATACATACATA